GTGGATATCGTGGGATATGAGTTTTGTCGAAGCTGATATAGTGGATAAATATATATCATATAAAGCACTATTTATAATGTATAATTATCTGAGTGAGTAGGTAATATAAGGGAGCGTATAGAGTAGGCGTATGTGGATGAGTATATATGAATGATATACTTGTATCGAATACTTCTGATGAGATCATGTACACATATGTTGTAAATTATAACAGATGTTAGCCTCTGCTTGTAAGTAGGAAGGGGCATAGGAAGGGCGACGAAGGCATCTGTACTGAAAGGGAGGAGCGAGGGAGGCTATTATCGTTATGAACGTAGGGGTGCCAGTAAAAAACATGGGGTTACGGATAATGTAATCAAACCGTGGGGAGGGAGGGAAGTAAAGAGAAACGGCCAGCAAATAGATGCGAAATAATATAGCAAGGATGCAGAGATGAGATGGAGGAAATGGAAAGGATAGTGGTGGTTCAGGTAAGGCAATATAACTAAGGTAATAGGTGCACAAATCACCGATCGTTCTTCTGAACTGCGGCTTGTTATACAGAACTGGTTAGCACTCGTGACTCCGCGCCGGAACCTTGCACAGGGCACCATTACTGGCCAAAGCACTCCCGCCCTACAGTCAACTCGGGTCTGCTAGGCAATCAAGTCGTTTCTCCTGCAGGACCTCATCCGGAAGGCTACGTGCTTGAAGTTGCATCGAAGGCATCCTGAAACCCCTTTCGTAATCCCCTATGACTCCTCGAGCTGCGGATATCTTCGTGAAGACGGAAGTAAAGCGAGATTAAAAGCAAAAGACTTGACTATAAAAAAAAGAATATCAAATAAAATAAAAAAACTCGTGACGCGCGTTTATGTAAGCGCCCTGTATTACCTGGGCTCCCTTCAGTCCGCGCGGAGAACAAGACCCGCCCATAGCACAAAAATAAAGATAAACTGCGAGTGCCGTCCTCCTGAACCATCAGATTGGAACACACAATACAACCATTGAGAAGTCATTCCCTAAATTTACATAAACATAAATAAGCGTTTGCCTCGTCCGAATTACCTTGTTCTTGGCCGCGAGACTGCCAATAGGTGCTGGCTCGGCTCGCGTCTGCCTGACTTTAAGAACTCGCCAAAAGCAGCAGTTCGAAGAAGATGGCATTATGCCCAAAATCAAAGAACATTTGTCTTAACGGCGGTCTAGGATGTAAAGTCATTAGCGTGTCCTACGATTCTATTTAGCGATTAATTAATTACGTTCCGCGAGGACAATTGCACATTCTCTCCGCGTCCTCCTTTCTCTCTCTCTCTCCTTCCAAAAAAATCCGACACCCAGACTCGTAATAAATGCAAGAATTAGGGAGGGCGATTCTCCCTGATATCGAAGCGGGTTCGCAAAAAGGCATATTAATTTGTGAAATAACGATTCTCTCTTTATCGTTCCCTTTTCCTTTTTTTTGGCCTAAAAGTGAAGAAAGAGAGCGGGTGGCTGCGCGGGCAGGCTGGGGACGTCCCAAAGCCTACATTTCCCCCACATAAATAAAACATCAGCAATGGATAGACGTCTCTACCTCGGCAGTATGTCTAACCTTATTGACATGGAGGGCTTTGGTTCACTCTCTACTCTCTCTCTGCTCTCTCTTCTCTCTCTCTCTCTCCTCTCCTCTCTCTTCTCTCTCTCTTCTCTCTTGCTCGCTTCTCCTCCTCATCCTCTCTCTCTCTCCTCTCTCTTCTTTCTTCTTTTCCTCTCATTAACGTCCCTCTCCACCACATACTTATACCGCTTTTTTCCCTTTATATCCCATTATTATATCTCAGCAATTCTCCCGTGAATCGTCTCCTCCTCTTTTCTCGTCAAAACCTTGTGCTTGTTAGGCTTACCTTCCTCGTAGCCTTTCCATGATTCACTTAGTTTTGTCATCATCCTGCATGCCAATTATGAAGTTATGTTTCATACCGTCTTAATTCCTGCTTATTTCGCTAACCGCACTGTCAAAATATCTCACTATTCACCGAATATATAAGCTTAGCTAATATACACCTATTACACACATATGCGCACTATTCTTAACTCTACACATCCACATACTGTAACTTAAACAACCATCCTACTCACACATATATCCTTCCCCTTCCAACTCCTTATTGTCATATTTGTGCGCTCCTCTGCCTACCTCCTCCCCACTTCCTCTCTTTGCTTGCGCCTCGGCCGCAGACTGGCCCAGCATCCAACCCCTACCCTCCATACTTCATATAACCCTCATCTCACACCCTAACACTTTACTCCACTCCTCTAACCATACTGTATACCTAATGTATCTCATCTATTGACTATTGGTATGCTCATTTATGCATGCTAGCTTATAATTATACTGTTATACCTTCGTATGTATCCACGTAATATTTTCTATATTGTCACTACTTCACTTATATTTTATTCGTCAATTATTTACGTTTTATTTTTATTTCCTATCCTCATATCATATTACATGTGCTTTTTGGATTATTTACATCTTATTACTATTATATACATATATTATATTAACACACACATCACCACGCTTTATGATATATACAAAATCACCACTCCAAAGTATTTACACTAGATTCAAATCATTTGAGACACACACAAAGAAAAAACTACGTATAACTCCAACATGAATCATTGATATCTACTTTATCATGATCACACTTATAGATGGGTCTGAATTTTGTGTTGTCAATCGACATAGCGAATTCCGTGGCGGTCTTCTTAGTTGGGGAATGTCTGGCGGTGATCCAACTTTGTGATGGATCTGAAATCCTTGCGGCATCGTGGCTCTATCCAAGACTTCCTTTTACATGGGGGGACATGTGACTTCTCATGTCGTAACTTGTTCTTAGTTATCCACTCGGTGAGGCTCTGCTACATTGCTACCATATGCTCATTTTGATTCATATTCCCTGACCACAACTCACAGGAAGTGTCAAGCTCTCTACGCGTCATCTGCGTATCATGTGCATCGTGCGTCCTCATCCTTCTCTGGACTCTCTCTGCGCTCTCTTCTCTCTCTCTTCCTTCTCTCTCTTCTCTCTCTTCTCTCCCCTCCCTCTCCCTCTCCCTCTCCCTCTCCCTCTCCCTCTCCCTCTCCCTCTCCCTCTCCTTGGACTACGGACCCATTTTTTTTTTTATAATTTTTGTGATACCCCCCCCCTCCACATGGATCCGGTACCATCCATGTGCGCAAGGATCCAATCCATCCTCTGATACTGATGGAGGACGGCTGCCTGCAGTGCACATGCTCCTTCCCAGTGACTCGCCACTTCATGCACCTTGAGCTCCCCCGCCGTTGCAGGAAAGTCGAGACATCCTCATCCCCCCATGCACCACGATGACACCACCAGGTGCACTATGCTGCTCCACAAAGACTCCTTCAGGGAGGAGGCATCTTCGGGTCCAAGTCGAGTGAGGTTGAGAAGGTCCCTGGCAAATTGCAGTGCCTTTCCCCTCGCCACCTTCTCCCGCATTGAGCCAACCTTCTCCCTCCGGCTGCTGCGACTGAACACTCCGGTCCAGCTCCACTACGAGTTTTGAGGTCTGTGAGGAAGATGGCAGACATTGAAGTAGGGGACGGGGGAGTGAAAGGTGGTGTGGCAGCGTGGGGAGGGGACATGCGGATTGAGAGTCCCGAACCCGCAACTCCTCCCCACCCCTGCCAATCCGAAACGCGGAGGGCGACCCGTGAGCGGAGGAACCTCACCTATCGGGGGGGGCGGAGGAAAGTAAGGGAGAAAGGTGGCCGAGAGGGAAGGAGGGGAGGGTATTACCCAGAGGATGGATGAGGATGGATGGATTGGATGGGAGGTGGAGGAGAAAGGAGGGAGAGGGAGAGGGAGAGGAGAGGGAGAGGGAGAGGGAGGAGAGGAAGAGGGAGAGAGAGAGAGAGAGAGAGAGAGAGAGAGAGAGAGAGAGAGAAGAGAGAGAGAGAGAGAGAGAGAGAGAGAGAGAGAGAGAGAGAGAGAGAGAGAGGAATGATTTCAGGAATATGAATCAAAATGACATAGTGGTAGCAATGTAAGCAGATAACGATAAGAATAAAGAGAAATAACAGTAAAGATTGGAAGAGCCAAGGAAAAGAAAAAAAAAGAAAAATCCAAAAACGACGGAATAAAAAAAAAAATAAATAAAAAAATAAAAAATATAAAGAATAATAGAGAAATCCAAAAAGACAGAAATGGAGGATGAAAAAAAATAATAATAATATAGAAAAATCCAAAAAGACAGAAATGGAAGATGAAAAAAACGAAAAGACGAATAAAAAGGGAAGAGGCAAAATGAAAATATGGGTCCGAGGAACAGCATGAGCGCAGCATGAGCATCAGCAATGAGGAATGCAGGTGAGGAGGAGGAGGAGGGGGAGGGGGTATGAGGTGGAGGGGTGGGGTCGGATGCTGGCGGCTGGCGGCGGCGCAGAAGGAGGAGGAGGAGGAGGAGAGGAGGAAGATAGAAAGGAGGAGGGGAGGAAAAGGTGAGGTGAGGAGGTGGGAATAAGAAGGAGGAGGTGAATGAGAATATGGAAAGAGGATGTGAAGGGAAAAAAGGATAAGGAAGAGACTGTATGGAGGAAAAGGAAAAGGGAAAAAAGAGAAGGTAGAAGGAGGATCAGGAAAAAGAGGAGGAGAATGAGGATACGGAAAAAAAGATATAAAAAAAAAAAAAGGATAAGGAAGGACGGCAGGAGGAAAAGGAAAAAGGAAGAAGGAGGAAAAGAGGAGGAGGAGCAGAAATAAGATAAGGAAAATAAGGTGGATAAGGAGGAGGGAGAGGAGGAGAAGGAAAATAAGGTAGATAAGGAGGAGGAAATGAGGATCAGGAAAGGAGGATAAAACGGAGCAGGAGGAGGAGGACAAGGAAAGAAGGATGAGCGAGAGGATCAGAAGGAATAGGACAAGGAAAGAAGGATAAGGACCAGGAGGACCAGGATCAGGAGGAGCAGGAGGAGGAGGAGGAGGAGGAGGAGTAGCTGAGGAACTTACAACTGGTATAGTGCCTGGTACGACGGGGGTGCCTGGGCTGAGACCCTGAATCTGAGTCATGATGGCATTCTTGAGAGCCAGGTGGTTCCTTCCGTTGATGAGCAGCTGGTCCTTGAGATGCTGCGGAGGGTGAAAGTACTTGCAGGGCGGCTTCTCACGGTTACATCGACCCTGCAGGAGGAGAAGGAGGAGAAGGGAGTTAAGAGGAGGTCCTTGCGTCACGAGGAGGAGAGGTATCAGTGTAAATATAAAGAATGATAAGAGACATCAGTGTAAATATAAAGTGTGAATTTAAAGGTATAAGAGATATCAGTGTATGTATGAAGGATGAGAGATATCAGTGTATGTATAAAGGTATAAGAGATATTTGTGTAAATATAAACTATGAGAAATATCAATGTATAAGGATAAGAAATATCAGTGAGGATGAGAGATATCAGTGTAAATTTAAAGAATGAGAATATCGTATAAAGGGATATATCAGTGTGAATGTAAAGGATGATAAGAGACATCAGTGTAAATATAAAGTGTGAATTTAAAGGTATAAGAGATATCAGTGTTTGTATGAAGGATGAGAGATATCAGTGTATGTATAAAGGTATAAGAGATATCAGTGTAAATATAAAGGATGAGAGATATCATTATATATATATATAAATGGTATAAGAAATATCGATGTAAATATAAAGGATAAGAGATATTGATGTAAATATAGAGGATAAAATCAATGTCAATATAACCACATGTTTTGGTGGAATGAAATGGCAGTTATAATAAACATAACCGTAAGAGAGAACATTAATAACATTTATAAACATATTATGAAATAAAATGGGAAATAAACACAACCGCAATGAAATATATGGTAATATAAAATAGAACATTAATAATATGTATAAATACACATTATGATGGAACAAAATTGCAGTCTTAATACCCTTAAACGTAATGACAAGATAAGATAGAACAATAATAGTATGTATAAACATGTATTATGATAAAATTGAATGGGGTTTTAATACAAATACATGTAATGATAGGATATGATATGTTAAAACAGAGCACTAATATGGTCATATAAAATACAAGAATGGTAATGTTATAATATACTGTAATGATATACAGTACCAGATACAATATATATATATATATAATATATATATATATATATATATATATATATATATATATATATATATATATATATATAAGGAAAATAAACGACCAACAAAACATACAGGGGTTTTAAATCTCAAGTGCTAAAAGAGCTCCTTAGATGCAATGAAAGAGCGGGGTGTGTGTGTGTGTGTGTGTGTGTGTGTGTGTTGTGTGTGTGTGTGTGTGTGTGTGTGTGTGTGTGTGTGTGTGTGTGTGTGTGTGTGTGTGTGTGTGTGTCGTTGTTGGTTGTTCCTTATTTCAATTAATGTTCGGATAAACGAAAAATCTTTGATCTTCATAATCATCCCTAAACACACACACCACACACGAGCACGCGCCCGCCCACGCCCGCACACGCCCGCCGAGAACCCTCCCGCCCTCAGCGAAAGCGCACTCCCGCCCACACACTCCGCTGCGCCTCCCCCTCCAAAAGCCCTTCGGTGCGACTCCAACAAAACCCCCCGAAAGCCGCCACGTTGGAAATACTCATGAAAGCGGCAACAGCGCCCGGTAACTGGGGTCAGATTGAACGCTCTTGGCCATGGCGATTCGTCGGGGGAAATCCGACACTGAAAATCGCCGATGTATTTATGCATTTTCCTTCTACCCTTCCCCCCCCCTATCACTCTCACCTTAACCCCCCATTCTCCCACTCTTCCCCTCTCACTTCCTTCCCACTCTCCCCCTCTTACTCTCCCTCTCTCAACCCACCCCCAAGACCGAACAATGAAAGACAAAACAAGAAAAAAAAGAAAAAAAACAGACAAGAAGGAAAAGTAGACGGACTAACGAAACAGAAAGAGTCAAACAGACAGACAAGCGAAACAGAAAGACACAAACAGACAGATACGAAACAGAAAGAAAAAACGAAAAAAGAGAGACCAAACAGACATACAGAACCGAACCAGAAAGACAAATAGACACACAGACAGACACACACAAACAAACAAACAGACACACAGCCAGACACACAAACAAACAGAACACAGACAGACACAAACAAACACAGATGCACCCGCACAGAGCAGCGGGCACCGGGGCAGTTAACATTTCCGCCAGGTGTCGCGCCTCCACTCCACGAAACATTAGCATAAATGTCAAACATGCTGTAACCTGGAACGGCGCCGCAATTACGATATTTACGCCGACTCGCGCATCCTCGGCGGCGAAGGAGGAGGATAGGAGGAGGAGGAGGAGAAGAGGAGAAGGAATTGGAGGACTGGGGTGAGGAAGAGGAGAAGGAATGGAGGACTGGGGTGGGGGGGGGGGGGGGGGGGATGAGCAGGAGGTGGTGGGGATGAGAGGAGGGGGGAGGAGGAGGGAGGAGAGAGGGGAAGGGAAAGGAGAAGAGAAGTGGAAGGAGAAGAAGAAGAAGAAGAAGGAAGAGAGAGAGGAACGGAAGAAGAAGACAGAGGAACGGAGAGAAAAAAGAAGACAAGAAAGAGGAGGAACGGAGAAGAAGAAGAAGGACAGTTACACGAGAGAACACGAGTGAAGAACGTGCTATCCCGACGAGACACCGTTACTCTAACAATACCCAATCAATCAAAGTTATCAGCGCCCATTAACATACCAATAATATTCCTTCACTAACAATAATTACCGCGCCACCCTCGACATTACGTGTCACACACACACACACACACACACACACAACACACACAACACACACACACACACACACACACACACAGAGACGAGAGAGAGAGAGAGAGAGAGAGAGAGAGAGAGAGAGGAAGAGAGAGAGAGAGAGAGAGAGAGGAGAGAGAGAGAGAGGAGAGAGAGAGAGAGAGAGAGAGAGAGAGAAGAGAGAGAGAGAGAGAGAGAGAGAGAGAGAGAGAGAGAGAGAGAGAGAGAGAGAGACGAGAGAGAGAGAGACAGAGAGAGAGAGAGAGAGCTACCCTTCGCACCTGGACACATGAATCACCTGTTCCCCCACGCCCCTCACCCCCCCCCCAATCCCCCTGCCACCCTACTTCCTTCCTCTCCAAATTCCTTTTCATCATCATCCATTCTTTGTCTTTCCTCTTATTTCATCTCTTTTCCTTCATCTTCTTCCCGTCTCATCCCTACTTCCCGTTCTTTCCTCTCTTCCCTCTTTTATCTCTATCTCGTCATCCCTTTCCTTCGCATCTTTCTTCCTATGTCATCCTTTGTCGACCTTCCTCCCTCTCCTCCTTCCATCTCCTCTCCATTTTTTTCCATTCTTTCTATCGCTTAAACCTCCTCTCCTCTTCCCATGCCATGCCCATCACCCCCTTTCTTCCTCTTCTTCTCTCCCCCTCTTTATTCCTTTTTCTCTTCCCCTCTTAATTCACTTTTCCTCTTCCTCTTTATTTTTCTCCTTTTTATTCCTCTTTTCCTCTTCCTCTCTATCCTTCTCCCTTTCTTCCTCTCCTCCACTTTATTCCTCTTTTCCTCTCCCCCACTTTATTCCTCTTCTCTTCTCCTTCTCCCCCTCTTATTCTTCTTCTCTCCCTCTTTTTAATTCCTCCTTCCCTCTCCTTCGGCGCGTGAGAAATGCAAATTCACGTTCCGGCGCGCCTCCAGGGCTCGTGGAGGGCCTTGTGCTTGAGGAGGAGGGAGGAGGAGGAGGAGGAGGAGGAGGAAGACGAGGTGGAGGAGGAGGAGGAGGAGACGAGGAGGAGGAGGAGGAGGAGGAGGAGGAGAGGAGGAGGAGGAGGAAGAGGAGAGGAGGCAGGAGGAGGGGGAGGAGGAGGAGGAGGAGAGGGGAGGAGGAGCGGGAGGAGGAGGAGGAGGAGATGCAGGGGGGAAGAGGAGGAAGGAGGAAGAGAGAGGACGTGTGGAGGAGGAGGCAGGAGGGGAGGAGAGGTGGAGGAGGAGAGGGAGAGGTGTGGAGGGGAGGAGGAGGAGGAGGAGGAGGAGGAGGGAGGAGGAGGAAGAAGGATGTGGTGGAGGAAGCAGGAGGAGGAGGGGAGAGGAGGAGGAGGAGGTGAGAGGAGGAGAGAGCGGTAGGAGGAGGAAGAGGGGGAGCGGAGGAGGAGGGGAGGAGGAGGGGTGGAGGAGGAGGAGGAGGAGGTGGAGGAGGTGGAGGAGGAGGAGGAGGAGGGGGAGGAGGAGGAGGGAGGAGGAGAGGAGGAGGAGCGTGGTGGAGGAGAGAAGGGAAGAGGTTGGAGGGAGAGGAGGCGGAGAGGTGGTGGTGAGGGGGAGGAGTGGTGGTGGGGAGGTTGGAGGAGGAAGAGGAGGAGGAGGAGGAGGAGAGGAGGAGGAGGAGGAGGCGGAGGAGGTTGTGGAGAGGAGGAGGAGGAGGAGGAGGAGGAAGAGGAGGCGGAGTGGTGGGAGGAGGTGGAGGAGGGTGGAGGAGGAGGAGGAGGTAGGAGGGAGGAGAGGAGGAGGAGGAGGAGGAGGAGGAGGAGGAGGAGAGGAGGAGGAGGGAGGAGGAGGAGGGGAGGAGGAGGAGGAGGCAGGAGGGGAGGAGGGGGGAGGAAGGAGGAGGAGGAGGAGGAGCGAGTGGTGGAAGGTGGGGAGGAGGCGAGAAGTGGTGGAGGCGGCGGAGCAAGGCGGTGGAGATGGAGGAGTGGTGAAGACGGAGGAAGTGGTGGAGACAGAGGAGGCGATGAAGCCGAGGAGGCGGAGGACGCCACGTTGTCATTGAATATTTCAGTTTTTCACTCTTGTCTCCGTCTGTGCTTGTGATTTGTATATATGCATTTTTCTTGCTTTCTCTCTGTCGTTTTTTTTTCTTCCTCTCTGTTTTCTTTTTTCTTTATTTATCTATCTTCCATCTATGCATCTATCGAATTTATTTATCTCTCTAGTGTCTTTTTTCTTGCTGTTCCTCTCTGTCCGTTTTTTTTTAAATCTTCCTCTCTGTTTTTGCTTTCTTTCTTTTATTTATCTATCTATCTATCTATGCATCTATCGAATTTATTTATCTCTCTAGTGTATTTGCTCTTGCTGTTCCTCTGTCCGTTTTTTTTTTTTTTTTAATCTTCTTTCTCTGTTTTTGCTTCTTTCCTTTTAATTACTCTCTATCTATCTATGCATCTATC